GGAGGGAGAAAGAGAGGGAGAGAAACATCAATCAGTTGCCTCCCGCACACACCCTGACTGGGGACCGAACCGGCAACACTGGCTCGAGCCCTGACTGGGAATCAAACCAGCAGCCTTGTACTTTGTGGGACGATGCCCAACCAACTGAACCACACCAGTCAGGGCTGTTTTATTGATTTTAGTGAGTGAGGAAGAGGGGGGAGGTCAGGAGAAAGAGAGAGAAACATTCATTGGTTGCCTCCCATATGCGCCCTGACTAGGGATCAAACCAGCGACATTTTGGTGTGAGGAACAATGGCCCAACAAACTGAGCCACCTGGCCATGGCTAGAAAAGGTGAGAATTTTTTTTTAAATTAATTTATTTACTTTTTAAATACATTTGTCTCTGCCTTCCCCCCACCTCTTTCCCTTGCCCCCTCCCACCTTCCCTCCCTCAGCTCTTCCCCTTTGGTTTTGTCCATGAGTCCTTGCTATATGTTCCTTGACTTTCCCCTTCCCTTCCCTTTCCCTGCCCCCCCTTCCCTCTTGTCTCTGTTGATTTCTTTTCCTTTCAGTGTTGCTGGTCATATTTTCCTTGCTTCTTTGCATTGTTGAAAAGGTGAGAATTTTTAACACTGTTTTTGAAGATGAAGCCACAGATAGGTTATCGTTTGATACGGTTTGGGAGGAAAAATGGATTCAAGAACAACTCCTTGGCTTTTGGCCTGTGTAACTAGGAGCTTCAAGTGGCTGTTACCTTAGATGAGGATGCAGAGGGTAGAGCAGGTTTTGGGAAAAGACCAGGAGTCCAGTTTTGGACACATTAATAAATGAAACTGTATTTACTTATTTTAAAAATGTATTTATTGGTAGTCTATATTGCACTTCTGACTTCCTGTTAACATAAGAGATACTTGCAGATTACTTAAAAATTTCCAAAATTTTAGCTTTCTTTTTCTATATTTGGTTGTTGTTTTACAGTTTTATTGCAAAGTATGCTACAGTATGATTGTCAAGTATTTGAATTTATTAATATTTTCTTTCTGACAAGTACATAATCAATTTTTATACATATTCCATAAATATTTTGGGAAGAAAATATAGAGTTAGCAGCATAAAAAGTGTTGTTTCTGTCTTGTATTTACTCCCTCACTATCATCTGTTAAGTCAAAATTTTATTATTAAAATCTTCCCACCTGTTTGTCTTTTTTGTTTATTTTGTCTGTCAATCATTGAGGAAGATGTGTTAAACTTTACACATTTTGATTTTTATCAACTATTGGTTATGAATTATAATTTGATATTAATTATATTACTTCCTTTTTACCCCCATTAACATGTATCTGAAATGCTTCTATATGCTTTTCACTGAAGTCTGATATACATATAGGAAAGTGTAAAAATTGTGGCTCTAAAACTTGATGGCTTCTCACAGAATACACATCACCTGACCATCGCTGACCAATAAAGAGAACATATCAGTATGTCAGACGCTCACGTGAGATTTTATGGGACATGAATCATGCGCGGCATTTCCCACACCTGGTGCAGGTGACTAGTTCATGCGTGGGGTGATATCTGACCAGGTGAATGTTATGGGAAGGATCCTTGGATGAGAATCTGTAAATGAAAACCCCTTTTCCTCAGCATAACTAGTACATTTTCCACTAGAAACAGGTTACATAGAATGAAGCCTTCTTGCTGCCAGGAAGGGTGAGTTTCCTTGAGAATGACACCTACTCCAGGAATGAGGAAATGATAAATAAACAAAGATAATCTGGCCACATCACCCAGTTCTGGAGAAAGCCAAGCCTAAAGACTCAGTCATCTCTTCATTCTGCTGGGATTGCGCCAATGGCTTTCTAGTGGTTCAAACCAGTCTGGACTGATCCCTGAGTCTCTGATTCTCACGTATCTTCCATGGTATTCATGATGTTATGTTTATTTTATGGGGAAAGTAACAGAATCAGGGGAGCTAAACAACTTGCTGTAATCATACAAAGTAGTCCAGATCATCTGACTCCTAGTTTAAAATTTCTATGAAAACAATTGTAATGACATTCCCTTCTCAAAAATTTCCAGTGACTCAATATTTCTACTAGAAATGATCAAAAGTTCTTGGGTGGGGGTGGGGCATCCAGGCTTTCTGCAGAGCTCCCATAGACCGCCTTCACTTGTCTCTGACCACAACCAAACTGTGCATCCCATGTAATCGGATCCCCTACTTCTAGCCCACCTGCCTTTGCTCACACCCTCACTCCTTATCCCACCGCGCTCTCCTTTCCCCATTTACAACCTTTATTCATCCTCTGCTTTCACCTCCTGTTGAGAGATGTCATGGTGAAACTGAGACTCTCGTGTGATGACACATTGTTCCCCACAGGAATGTAAGGGAGTGGTGGCTCCCAGCTTGTGCTTCTGAGCTTTCTCCTTGGAGAGGCCAAGTTCAAGCCTCTTTAGTTATCACGCAGGAATATGGAAAAGTGTTTTTGAAGGGATTTCTTGTTCCCCAGAGAGGGATTCTCCAGGGCATATAATTAATTCAATGTCATATAATGTTCTAGAATCAGCATGCTAAGTCACTGAGTTGTATGTACAGGAAAGTGGCTTTGGCTAGAGGTAGAACTTCTGATCCAATAGTGGGAAACTTAAAGAGACAGAGTCAATAGGTAAGAAAGTGAAGCTTCTACTTGTGTGCCTGATAGTGGGTTGTCCATGTACATTTCTTCTGCCTGGTAGTTGGAGATGCTGTCGAGGGGATTTCTCGAGGGAACCACGAGACACAGCAGAGACATTTGAATCAGTAGACTCTGGGTTTTGATGCTATTTGTTTTTCACTTCTTTTTAGAGAAGAGTTCAGGCAGTAATTAGGAATAGAAGTATTTTGTATGAACTAATAATCAAATCTTAGAGGTTTGCAACTGGAAGGACACTTGGTAAATAAGTTGAATTTTTACGTTTTTCAATTTCAAAGATGAAATCTACAGAAGGGAGTGATCAGATGGCGTAAGTTACAGAGATGGTACAGAGTGTCTGTGGTCAGCTGCTCTTTACCACTCATGAATGTTCTGTTCCATAACATGCTCACAGTTAGTCCTAAAAGGTTTTCTATTTTATTTATGACATCCCAATTTTTGTAATTTTAAAAATCTATCCACTTTTAAATATTTGCAACTGAATTTGTATTATTCTCTTTTTCCCATTAGAAATGGGTTTTAAATGTTTGACCCTGAGACTACATTTTACTAAATTTAGGTGATTTTTTGATATCCAAATTATAAATATTATGGTTAACATAGCCATTTAATTTTAATGGATGATTGTGGTCAAACACAGCAGTAAATCAGCCTGCCTTCTGTCTGCTATTGGCCCAAAGATCTCCACTCAAAGCAATATTAAATTACTTCAGCTTACTTTGTCCTTACTCTGTTTGCCTGGGCTTCTCATCTCCCAGGGTGTATTTGCTGGTTTTCAAAACATCACATAAAGGATAGGTCTGTATTGTAATAATAATGTGTCATCAGATACCTCTGGCCCAAGCTAGTCATCCCTCCTGTCAACTTTCTCCTTCCACCTAATATGACTTCCACTGATGACATCCTATGATTACGGTTGTTCACCCTTTGTCCCCATTCAGCATTAGTCTGACCTTCTTTGAAATGTCTAATGCCCCTGTTATTACTTCTGCTTCCCAAAAGTTTTGTGTGCTGATTTCACTCTTTTAAAGACACTCTATTCCTTAAAGTTATCATGGATTTTCCTCATTTTCCTCCCCTTATTCATCAAATATTGATCTAGCATTTATTATGGGTCAGGGACTGTTTGTGATGACAGCAAAAAACAAACAAAAAAACTTTGACTCCTAGACTTTATGTTTTAGTGACATAGTTAGATTTTAATGTATATTATATGTAAATATATAAAAATATATGTACTTACTTATAAATTATACTATTTAATTTATAGATATGAATAAATCTATACTCATATCTTAACTATATATTTATATATATACTGTCAGTTGGTGGTAATGGAGAAAACAGAGCAAGGCATAATGGGAGGAGTTAGAGAGTACTGAGGGAAGGGTGGAATGCTAGTTTATGTAGCGTTTCCAGGTCTCTGTTGAGTTGTAGGATCAAATGTGTGCCTGAGACTACTGAGCCTAGAATATGTTAGTTGCTTAATCAGTGTTTGTTGAGTCATTGATGATGAAATGAACTTCTTTGTGAGAAGGCAAATATATTGAAGGAGAGAAAAGAGAAAGAGGGAGAGAGTGGAAACAATGAAATTAGTTACAGAATGACCAAAATTGGACTTTTCTTAAATCATCATGGTCACACATATAAGCCATAGAGAAATGGCTCTGAAAATTTCCCATGCAGTCCAGTCTTAATATACTTGGCTAAGACCTGTCTATGCATACACTAATAAGCCTGGAGCCAGTTTACAGTACTTGCAGATCACTTAGGACATGTATATCTGAAGCGCAACCCCCTTCGTGTGCTCCTGCAGCACGTTCTAATTTAGCCAAGTCACATACATGTATTTTGAATGTGATAAGTATTTATAATAAATACAAAACAATTTTTCTGTAAGTTTGAACTATTAAGTTGTTATCAGAATTTTGTGGGTATCCTTTTCCATTTGTCTACTTTTTAACACTTTATTTTTTTTGTAGTCTTAAATTTAGTATTATTTAAAATTGAGAAAAATAAATGATACTGATAGCAATGTCATGAAGATGGAATCTAAGTTGTAAAACATTTATTTTGTTTTAAGGCTATGTTTAATCTTCAAACTACATAATGTAAAACTTGCAAGAGAATTTTGATATATTTTGTATGCTAAAGACAAAGTTTCTGAGCCAGAATTCTTTACTTCCTTCTTTCTATCTGAAGGATTCATTAATCTGAGTAACTGACCATTCTCCCAAATTGCCACACTGAATTCCTGTGAGGATGAGTTCTTTTTTATATCATCTGCCAAGTACACCTAGGGTAAGTGCCAACACAGACTCAGCTATTGGACAGTGTCTTCATAATTCATATACTATGTCCATAAAAGTAAACCATGTCCTACTACTGAAATGAAGAGTCAAAATAAGAGCTCTGTGGTTGAATTCATCCTCTTGGGCTTTTCTAACTTTCCTGAACTCCAAGAGCAGCTCTTTGGGGTTTTCTTGGTTGTTTACCTGGTGACTCTGATAGGAAATGCCATGATCATAGTCATCATCTCGCTGGAACAGAGCCTCCACGTTCCCATGTACTTGTTCCTCCTGAACTTGTCTGTGGTGGATGTGAGTCTCAGTGCAGTCATTATGCCTGAAATGCTGATGGTTCTCTCCACTGAGAAAACGTTGATTTCCTTTGCGAGTTGTTTTGCACAGATGTATTTCATTCTTCTTTTTGGTGGGACTGAATGCTTTCTCCTGGGGACAATGGCATATGACAGATTTGCTGCAATCTGTCATCCTCTGAGCTACCCAGTGACTATGAACAAAAGGGTTTTCATGAAATTAGTAATGTTCTCATGGGTCTCAGGAATCATGGTGGCTACTGTGCAGACATCATGGGTGTTTAGTTTTCCCTTTTGCGGCCCCAGTGGAATTAATCATCTCTCTTGTGAAACCCCAGCAGTGATACAGCTTGCATGTGCGGACACGTTTTTATTTGAAATCTATGCATTCACTGGTACCATTTTGATTATCGTGGTTCCTTTCCTGCTGATACTCTTGTCTTACATACGAATCCTCTTTGCCATCCTGAGGATGCCATCGACCACCGGGAGGCAGAAGGCCTTTTCCACCTGTGCCTCCCATCTCACGTCTGTTACTCTCTTCTACGGCACAGCCAGCATGACCTATTTACAACCCAAATCTGGCTACTCCCCAGAAACCAAGAAACTGATGTCATTGGCTTACTCACTTCTTACGCCTCTGCTGAATCCACTGATCTACAGCTTGCGAAACAGTGAGATGAAAAGGGCTTTGATGAAATTATGGCGAAGAAAAGTAGATTTACACACATTGTGACCGTGCTGGGCAGCCATGGGATATTTGGTGTCTGTCTGAATGATCTCTTTTAAATTTAATAAACAGTGAAAACAGTTTGCATTTCTTGGTATGAATATGCTTAACTTTTGAGTTCTACAAATCTGGATCTGGTAATATATTTGGGGTATCTACGTACATGTTTTTTTCATAGATGCATTATATTCCTTTATATTGGGTATAACACAGTTTCTTAAAAAAACCCCCAAAAACCTGTTTATTGGCAATCATACAGGTGATTAGATTTTTGTACCTTTAGAGTATGCTAAATGAAAACTTAGTTTTATACATTCATAAATATTGTTGCTTTAATTTCTGCAGAGTAGGTTTTCAAACATGAGTTTGATGGGTTAAAGCAACTGCGAATTTGCAAACTTTCATAAAAATGAACCAACTTACTTTTTAAAATTTCATCAGAAGATTGCTGAAACTGTGGATAATAGTTGAATGCTGTATAATACTGTTTCCAGTCAAACATCAAAGTAGCATCAACAAAGAAGTTTGGTTGAATTTTATTCCTTGATATCTTGAAATTTCCTTCTCATAACTCTTAAAAGAACAAATAAAATGAGGTTTATCTAAAACAAACAAGCAAATAAAAGGGAAGCTAAATACTGAGTATCCTCTTAATCATTCTTTAGTTCATCTGCTCATTCATTGATTGTAGAAACCATTTTTTAATATCTTAATTTATTTATTTTCCCAGCTTTCATGAGATATAATTGACAATTAAAATCGACATATTTAGAGTGCAATGTGATGGTTTTATATACATACATTGTGAAATGATTACCACAATTAAGTTAACTAAAACATTTATCACCTTATATAGTTACCATTTTTGTTTTTTGGATGAGAACACTTGAGGCTTATTAGCAAATTTCAAGTATACACTATGTTATTATTAGCCATAGTCACCATACTGAACATTAGATCCTCTGAACTCATTCATCTCGTAACTGAAAGTTTGTACCCTTTGACCAACATCTCCCCACTTCCCCCACTAACAGCCCCTGGGAACCACCATTCTACTGACTGTTTGTATTTTAGACTTAAAATTTTTATTTATATATACTTACTTCTCCAGAGGCAAGGGGTGAGAAAAACAGTTGAAGGGGGTCAAAAGGTAAATATGAAAATAAAATTAAATGATTGCACATTGCAACATATATACACATATGCAAGCTAATGGGGAACACTAATACTTGTTAGAAAAATGTTTTCAAAATTGATTATTAAATCTACTGAAGAAAAAAAAATTCATGTATAAGTGATACCATACAGTATTTGTCTTTCTTTCTCTGGCTTATCACTTATCATAATGCCCTCCATCTTAATTCATATTGTCATAAATGGCAAGATTTCCTTCTTTTTTATGACTGAAAAATATTGTCATATTGTATATATATCACATCTTTAAATCCATACCTTCATTGACAGACAGGTAGATTGTTTTCATATCTTGGCTATTGAGAACAATGCTGCAATAAACATGGGAGTGCAGATATCTCTTCAAAATCCCTTTTTCATTTTCTTTGGATATATATATCAAGAAATGGAATTACTGGATCATATGAGAGTTTTATTTTTAATTTTTTAGGGAATCTCCTTTCTGTTTTCCAAAGTGGCTGTACCAATTTATATTTTCACTAACAGTGCACAGGAGTTCCATTTTCTCCACACCCTTGCTAACAGATGTTATCTGCTGGGAAATGCCCTGCCTGTTTCAGGGACTGTAGACCTGCTGACAGGCAAGGGGGCCCCAAGGCTGGAAGTAATCAGGGAGGCCTTGGGAAAACATGCCACTGAGGAGACGAAACCTGTCCCCAATTTTTAATTAGGTCATTTTATTTTTCTGTTATTGAGTTGTATGAGTTCTTCATATATTTTTTTTATATTAATTCATTAACAAATATATGATTTGCAAATATTTTCTCACATTCTGTAAGTTGCCTTTTCATTTGGTTATTATTATTATTATTTTTTGCTGTGCAGTAGCTTTTTGGTTTGATGTAGTCCCACATGTTGATTTTTGCTTTTTGCTTAAGCATTTGGTCTCATGTCCAACAAATCATTGCCATGACTAATATCAAGGAGATTTCTCTCTGTGTTTTCTTGTAGGAGTTTTATGGTATCAGGTTGTAGGTTTAAGTCTTTAATCCAGTTTAATTTTCAGGAGTCATATAAGATAGGGGCCCAAATTTTATTTTTCTGTATGTGGTTGTTGAGCTTGCCCAATACCATTTACTGATATTTCCTATCTACAGTGAGTGTTCTTGGCTCTCTTATCATATATTATATAAATATATATGTGAAGTTTTATTTCTGTGCTTTCGATTTTTATTCCAGTCCCATATATTTTTAATTATTATACCTTGTTGTGTAGTTTGAAATTAGAAAGTGTGATGTCTTCAGCTTTGTTTTTCTCTCTCAGCTTTGTTTTGGTTAATGGGGTCTTTTGTAGTTCCATATTAACTTTAGCATGTTTTTCCTATTTCTGTGAAAAATGTCATTGGAATTTTGATAGGGATTACACTGAATGTATCGATGACTTTGGGTAGTATTGACATTTTTAATAATACTAATTTTTCCAATCTATGAGCAGGGAATATTTTTACATTTATTAGTGTTTTCAATATTTTTCATCAGAGTCTTGCAGTTTTCATTATATAGATGTTTCAATTCCTGAGTTAAATTTACTCCTTTTTTTAATGCTATCATGAACCAGTTTGTAAAATTTCTTTTTTATATATTTTGTTGTTAGTGTATAGACATGCAAATAATTTCTGAATGTATTTTAAATCCTGTAACTTTACTGAATTTGTTGATTAGGTCTCACAGTTTTTTGTTTGAGTCTTCAGGATTTTCTATGTATAAGACCATGTTGTCTGCTAACAGAGATAATCTTACTTTTTCCTTTCCAATTAGGATGGATTTTATTTCTTTGCCTTGCCTAATTGCTCTGACTAGGACATCCATTACTCCGCTGAAAAGGAGGGGTGAAAATGGCACTCTTGACTTTTTCCTGATTTTAGAAGAAAAGCTTCAACCTTTCATCTTTAGTATAATGCTAGTTGTGAGCTTGTCATATGTGGCCTTTATTATGTTGAAGTACATTCCTTCTATACCTATTTTGTTGAGAGCTTTTATCATCAAAGCATGTTGAATTTTGTCAAATTATTTTTCTACATCTGTTGAGATAATATAATTTTAACTTTCATTTTATTAATGTAGCGTATCATGTTTTTTAAGTATACTTTATTAATTATGCTATTACAGTTGTCCCAGTTTTTCCCCCTTTGCTCACCTCTACTCAGTACCACCCTTTCCTCCAGCAACCCCTCCACTTAGTTCATGTCCATGGGTCATGCATGTAAGTTCTTTGGCTTCTGCATTTCCTGTATTACTCTTAACAACCCCCCGTCTATTTTGTACCTACCTATTATGCTTCTTAATCTCTGTGCCTTTTCCCCCATTCCCTCCCTTCCCCCTCCCAGCTGATAACCCTCCAAATGATCTCCATACCTATGATTCTCTTCCTGTTCTAGTTGTTTCCTTCGTTCATTTGTTGGTTTGTTGTTGATTCAGTTGTTGATAGTTGTGAGTTTGTTGTCATTTTAATGTTCATAGTTTTGATTTTTTTTTATCATCTTCCTTTTCTTAAATGAGTCTCTTTAACATTTCACATAATAATGGCTTAGTGATGATTAACTCCTTTAGCTTACTTTGTCTGCAAAGCACTTTACCTGCCCTTCCATTCTAAATGATAGCTTTGCTGGCTAGAGTAATCTAGGTTGTAGGTCCTTGCTTTTCATCACTTTGAATATTTCTTGACAGTCCCTTGTAACCTGCAGTTTCTTTTGAGAAATCAGCTGACAGTCTTATGGGTATTCCTTTGTAGGTAACTCTCTGCTTTTCTCTTGCTGCTTTTGAGATTCTTTATCTTAAAACTTTGGCATTTTAATTATGATGTGTCTTGGTGTGGTCCTCTTTGGGTGCAACTTGTTTGGGATTCTCTGTGCTTCCTGGACTTGTATGTCTATTTCTTTTGCCAAATTAGGGCATTTTCTTTCATTATTTTTTTCAAATAAGTTTTCAATTTCTTGCTCTTCCTCTTTTCCTTCTGGCAGCTCTATGATTCGGACGTTGGTATGTTTGGAGATGTACCAGAGGCTTCTTATACAATCCTTGTTTTTTTGAATTCTCATTTTTTCTTTCTGTTCTGGTTGAATGCTTATTTCTTCCTTATGTTCCAAATCATTGATTTGAATCCTTCCCTTCACTGTTGGCTCCCTGTGGATTTTTCCTTTTTTCACTTAGTGTAACCTTCATTTTTTTCCTTTATGTGTTGTTGCCATATTCATTGAGTTCTCTGAGCATCCTGATCACCAGTGTTTTGAACTCTGATAGCCTCTGATAGGCTGACTATCTCTATTTTATTTAGTTCTTTTCCTGAGATTTTGTTCTGTTCTTTCATTTGGGCCATGTTTCTTTGTCTTCTCATTTTGGCAGCCTCCCTGTGTTTGTTTCTGTTTATTAGGTAGAGCTGTGAGGACTCCCTGTCTTAGTACACCTGTCAAGTTGTATGCAATGGAGCCTTAGGTATTCACCAGGGTGAGGCAACCCACTTTACGACTTCGTGTTCTGTGTGGAAGGAGGGCTTGGAGAGGACACAATACCACTGCCTGGCTTCTGGGGGTTTACCCAACACTTGCCCCATTTCTAGTCACTTCACCCACTTCCCATGTTCAACTGGAGAACTTCCAGCAGTTGCCCTGGTAGTGAATCCCAGCAGGGATGGGCTTGCATATGTTCTAAGTCCCTGCAGCCCTTTTAAATGGACTCTCCTGAAAAACCAGCAGTTTCTTCCCTCACCCCAACCCCCACTGGTTTTTACAGCCAGAACTATGGGGTTATCTTCCCCATGCTAGAACCATGGGCTGTGTGGTCTAGTCTGGGGCTGGGATTGCTTGCCCCCAAGG